TATCAACGTTTTCGATCGAATATTGACAATTATATAATGACAAGAAAATTGAAAACTTATCACTCTTATCAGTACACAGTACACAAGCTAATAGCTAAAATGGGATTGAGTGAGATTCGAGTTTGTTTTCCCCCAGTTTTGACGTGGCTTTGACATGGAACGATGAAAACCGAGCGCCACCTAGTAACATTGATTCCCGCGAATACATCGTTGGGGGAAGAATTGATGGCACTTCACTATTCAACAAGAAAATGCATAGGGTGTAACTTGAAAATATGAAGTCAGAGGTGGTCATTAAGGAGTAGTTTGACAGAAGTTGACTTCCAGACACAATGACTCCAAGATCATTTTTCTACAAGCAGCATAACTGAGATGAAGTAATCGTGAAACCTAGGGTCCCTTGATGGAAATTGACGTTAAAGTCATCTTAACAGGGTACGGACAGATCCTCGTCTCCTCTCACTCTAAAGCGTTTGTGAAACAGTTATATAGTTCCATCCTTATTCAATTCTGGGGATAAACACTAGATTTTTGACATTCGTTGTTTTTTAGGTTATATTGAGGTCACTGGCGTATCATACGTATGGAATTACTGATTCAACTATACCAAGATATAGATGAACAATCCTCTAGTTTTAGAGTTTACTACTCCAGCATAATCTCTGCGAGGTAGGGAACATATAAATTGTACTGAAGGCTTATAATGTATTTCACCAAAAGAGACTGTTCTTAGACTGTATACCAGGGTTGACTGAATTGACTGAATGAATCCTGATTTCAAGCTGAGCAGTAGTTTTTCTATGAGCTGAATGAGCAGAGCCTTATGATTGAGGAATGGTGGGAACCTCGATGTGGGTATCTAAACTATTGCAGGTAAACTCATGTTATATTTTCGGAAATCCAACTCGGAGAAGAATTTATGGAGTTACTAATATCACACTATGTACAAAACTTCGTCTAGGACGAAAAGTAGGCTGATTAAAATAAATACGTAAAATATGTAGTGAAATAAAGAAAAGAATATACTTCACTTAAGTTTTTCGTCTCCCTTGAATAAAAAGTCATTTTCGAATAATTTATTGATGAAAGTAACAAAGAAGTAGGTATGCGCAGTATAACTTATAGGCACGCTATTTTCACTCTTGCATCCTACATATTTTCTATTTGTGGTAGAGTAATAATTATATAAACTAATGTCTTTTGCCATATTGGATCCGTCATCTCGAATTTCCCAATTTTTACGATACAATATCATTATCTCCTACCCCGAATACCCCCAGACACCAGTTTTAAATAAAATCGGATCTTCATTACAAAACAATCCACCATATTGGATCCGCCATCTTCAATATCCCAATTCTGACAAAATAATTATAATCTCCGACCCCGGAAATCCCCAGATACCAATTTTGATTTTTATTGGATCCGCTATCTTGAATTTCCCAATCTTGACTAATCATGAAGTTCGACCCCGAAAACCCTCAGATATGAATCTTAAATAGAATCAGATCATAATTAGAAATTTCTTTCGCTATATCTTGAATTTTCCAAGTTTGACGCGAAACAATCATTATCTCCAACCCCGAAAAACCCCAGATATCTTCCAATTTTGAATAGAATCGGAGCATAATTACAAAACTCGTTTGCAATATGATCTTCCTCAACAAGTGAATACCCTGTACATACCTATTATTAAAATTTAGAATGATTTTCTGTAGCGCCCATGGATGTGAGGTGACAGCAGTGTCAGGGATGCCAGTAGACAAAACTAAAGTCTCTAGATCATTAAAAAAGAATGCAGCTATGATCTGTCCGTACCCTGTTAGATGACTTTAACGTCAATTTCCATCAAGGGACCCTAGTGAAACCCATATTTATTTTTGTGCAACACTTTGCGTTTTCTCATGGATAGGATATAACGCCCTGAATGGCAGAAAATGCCATCCCATTGGGAATAGCGTGCTCTGCTTCTTGTATCTATTCACTTCCAATCACACGAATTACTCCTCGACAACAAAGGGGTCAAATTGCTTTCGATTACGTACTTGAAAGACCCCAATTGCCTATAGCTACTTCACTCCACACTCTAATTGTATATTGTCCTATGAGTCATACATGAAGATTTCCTAGATCTGTTTCAGGATATAAGGACATGAATACAATGATATAATTGACTGAATCTGGACTGCTATGGCTATTGAAAATCCTCTATTATCTATAGACCACTAAGAAGTTTTGCTCCACATGTTTCTGAAAATGCTAGTCGTATATTCAAATTTGACTTTGAAAACAATATGAATGAATGATTCTGATTGTGATTATGTGATCACGGAATGTTGTAACACAGATATTTTCATCCAGCTGAGTACGCTGAGGACTATGTTTTGATCAAGAAGAAGAGTTTGAAATTATGAGAAGGTGGTGTAGATACAAGGTGTGAATGTGGTACATGAAGTTGATTTGAAGGTATCATATAAGGCGTTTTCGGAAACTTACTCTGGGTTGATAACTCGATCCAGATAGGTCACGTGACAAAAAACTCGGATTATCTACTCGTGTCCAACGTTTACGAACGTGTCAGGTCAGGAACACTGAATATTATATTTTTCCTAAGGTTTCATCAATTTGACAGACGAAAACGGTCACATTATATTCAAGTAATTATTTGATCTGATTTCAAATATTTATATTTACCTGTGGATTGGTGTATATGTCTCATATGTGTTGTTGCACATAACCACAAACTTCATCCCTACCCAAATTCTCTTCTCAATGAATTACTTTAATCAAACTATGAAGATTGAAAAGAACATGTATATTACCGGTCATGATTTTTCCCAACACGCAAATTATTTTATTATTACTGTTATCGTCGAATGTAAACTCCCGCGTTTTTTGATTGACTTAAATTCCGTAATGCGCATGCAGTGTCCTTTGAAACTCTGGCGACCCTACTTTTGGGTATATGGTCACGAAAAATCAACCCGAGTCAGTGATCGAGTTGAGCATCATTCAAGTTTCCGAACAGAGGTAGGTAACTGGGTATCCGAATGTTCAGGTTAGGGATCCGAATCCGAAAACGCCCATAGTTCTTTAATGAAAGCAACAGATTAATAGAAAATAACTGCTATATTTTCAGGAGTTGATTTTTTGAATTTCTTGACTATGTTCCTTTTTTTCACTAAAGGTCGAAATGAATTCAAGTCAATACGAAGGGCAGTAAGTTTCTATCTCATGCATTTTTAAATAGCAACCCAACTTTGTGTTCGAATATTCTGTATTTGCCTCCATTAAACATTGATCTTCTCAGAGCTGGAATTATATATGGGAAGCGACATGTGGAGTGCTCACTTTTGATCACCTTCCAAATATATTCATGAGATTTGGAAAGGCTGGCATTTAAGGTATGAGGTATATCTCGACATTGCTCTGTGATGGATTTCTGGTGCTATTAACTGCCTGACGGCAACTTACGGTAATAGTCTTCAATGTCCATAAGCAGATGTATAGTAGTTTTTCTTGAATACAATCTCATATGAGGTAGAATTCAGTTTAGTGAAATGAAACCCGATATATGCTGTGAAACCTGTAAGACACCGTTTCGTGGGGCATTCAATCACAGCGTTTGGAAGCACGAATGAGACATTTTCATTTTTTCACCACATTTTCATCATTGATGGAAGTGATGTCACTCTCTGATGCATCGAATTGTTGAAGTCATCAGTGTCGAAAAAAACGCAGTCATTTGTATGACAAACACAACTGTTTTTTTCCTTCATTCATTTTTCTATTCGTGATTTGATAAGGATTCAGATTGTTTTCAATTAAAAGGTCAGAATCGGCGAAATCTAATGTAAAATGGAAGATGATGTATTAAAAGTGTTATTGGAGCCCATGTCTCTAGATTCAAGAGTTCTAGCAGTAGTTCTGATAGTTCCGAGGATGAAATATTGTTCATGTTGGGGAGTAGACGAGATAGGTTGAAAATTCTCAACAACCTATACAAAACATTGCATCAAATTATGATGATATAGATACCCAAGTTTCCTGAATGTTTGCACACATTTCTTGAAATTCATGATGGGAATGAAAAAAGTACCTATCACTCGAAATTTCTTCAATTTCTGTTAGTGTCAATGATGCAGGTAGTCTTTTATCTTCATATTCTAGGCTGATTTCAAATGCATACATATTTTTTCCTAACAATGAAGAAAAGTGTTGTATTTCGTGCAAGATATTTTATCCAAATTTATTACTCGTAGCAGAGCGCTTTCGACTGTTAAGTCATCATCAGTGCATACTCGTCAGGTTAACAAGGAAATTTTTCCATAAAAATATCTCTGGTCCAGTTTAAAACTATCGACATTATGGTTAAATACGGTACAAACATATTAAAATGTGTTTCCCAGCACACTGATTTTTTCTTAAGCAAATGGCAAACAGCTATGGAATCAAATATATTTTTTAGTTTTTAGCTTACTTGCTTTGCTTGCTGTCGCTGTCATTTTGAAATCCACCAAAATTCGTCTCTGTACATGGTGGAATGGTTTGCAATTTCGGTTGACACAACAGTCTGTGGATTGATGGAGCCACCGGTGGATAAAAGAACGTCTTTATGTTTAGCCAGAACTGACGTGATGAGTTCGATGAATGTTTTAGGTTTCACCGTTATGTCCGTTATTGGATGATTTTGTAGACTAAATGGCCATGATATATCACTATTCACTTCAATTACTAATGAACTACAAAAATATACTAATATTTCTCATATACTATAGGGTGGGTCACGGTCGATGGTACCTAAGACGTATATGGAGAACGGGATGTAGGATTATAATCTGAAAATCTCATTGCTCAAGATGTTGCTCTTGGTTTATCAATCTTTAACTGTGATTGGGAAATGAAATTTACCGCAATTCCCAAAATTGCTCTGATTGGTCTCCTATACTACCCTATACATATGTTTAGACAAAAACGGATTCGTGCCACATTACACTCACTTGGTATCCTGTTGATGGCTCTGAGGGGCCTCAACACCCGTATAGTCCTCACGGCAGATAGATTGAGGTTGTTGAAACTCGGCAAGCCGTACTCGATGGCTCCAGACATGACGATGAACAGATCCAGACGGTTCCACGAATCGGCCAAGTAGGATCCTCGTCCGTACACTCCCATGGCGATCATTTTGATGGTCATTTCCAGCGAGAAGAAGGCAAAGATGAAGTCGTCGAACCTCTGGAACAGACATGTGGATATACAGGGTAGGTTAAATTTGAGTAGATGCATGGGTATCTCGGAAAAGGTGAGAGCTACAGAATTGTAAAGGGAAATTCTCAGATAAATTATGAACATGACAAAATACATTGAGAATTCGCACATAATATGCACATAATATCATTATGAACATCTAGGAATATTTAGGAATTTAGGTCTTACAATTTGCTAAACTTCAAGAGAAGGTGCGTGGTTAGTTACATAGGTGTCTCGGGGGGGTCACTAGGAGTGTAAATTCGAAATGGCGACCAAATCAAGCTTTTGCGTATGTTCGAAAACTGTTTTTTTTTTGTTAAAAAACGGTTTTTCTTGAATAACTCGGCCATTTTTGATTCTGAAGAAAAAGTTTGGGTACAAAAATTGTAGTAATACAAGTTTGGTCATACAATTTTTCTGATAGGATCGATATTTTGTAAATTGAACCTAAAAAAAGCGACAAATTCGAAATTGTTTCATTATCTCGTTTATTTTCAACTTCACGGCATGAGTGAACAAAAACAAACTTGTAGAGAATCAAATTTTGGACAAATTTTGTCTCAAACTGTTTTTCCGAAAATCGATATTTTCAGAGTTAAACCTAAAAAAAACGACTCATTCGAAATATCAGCATTATCTCGTTCATTCTCAACTTTACACCATAAATGAGAAGAAACAAACTTGTAGAGAATCAAATTTTGGACAAATTTGGTCTTCACCTGTTTTTCCGAAAAATTGCGGAGGAATGTGTGGGTGTCGTAAGGCAGGACTGAAATGTTCTGTCTTATGCCACAACTGCGCTGGGCAGACTTGCGATAACGTCACACAATTGCGAGCCGTCGATGACGAAGACAGTGATGATGACAACGACATCGACGATCCCGCACCATTAACACTGAACCTTAACGAACGTGAAACTGGACATTACCAATTGACCGAAGAAGAAAGAGAGAATATGGATTTGGCAGGACCATCAGCTAAGGAACCAAAAAAAAAATTGTTCCGGAACCATATTTTCACACCGACATGACAGACAAGCTACCTGCGCGGAACAACCTCTTCATTTATGCCGTAAAATGCGAAGCATTGGAGATAATGATAATCTTTTGAATTTGTCGCTTTTTTCAGGTTTAATTCCCAAAATATCGATTTTTGGAACAAAAACGTAGTGACCAAAATTGTTTAGAATTTGATTCTCCACAGGTTTAGTCCTCTTCATTTATGCCGTAAAGTTGAAAATAAACGATATAATGAAAATATTTCGAATTTGTCGCTTTTTTCAGGTTTAATCTACAAAATATCGATCCTATCAGAAAAAATGTAAGGACCAAACTTGTAGAGAACCAAATTTACTACAATCTTCGTCCCCAAACTTTTTCTGTAGAATCAAAAATGACCGAGTTACTCAAGCAAAACCGTTTTTTAACAAAAAAAACAGTTATCGAACATACGCAAAAGCTTGATTTGGTCGCCATTTTGAATTTACACTCCCAGTGACCCCCCCGAGACACCTATGAAAAAAAACACTAAAAAATTGAGACCTCGGTGTCAACTCACATACCTTTCGTGATATTAACTGAGGAGTAGGCAGATTGAGACCCCAGAGAAAAATCACTCCCTTTATCTTCCTATATCATCTTTTCATTTCTATTTTTCAGTTCTTGAAAATGGCTCCAAAATTGGTGCCGAAACGTCGAACATCTACAGATTCTAGAAGCGGTTCAACCCGAACTCTTAGCTTTCGAATTTCTGACCGCGGAAACCTATCCGAACATAATATACAGGGTGGCATTGAAATATGTGCAAATATTTCAAACACTGAGGAAGGTCGACGTGTACTATCGAATGGCACTAATAATAAAGAATAAGGGGTCAAAATAAAATTTGAGGTTACCCCATTTCCCACTCAAAGCTCTACACTGTAGCAGATCTGACTTCACCTCTGTTCAAATTTTAATGCCGTATAGGCACAATCACGCGGAGTTCAATCATTTAAATTGTTTTTTCTACTCACATAACTAAAATGGCATTTAGCGTACGGATATGTACCACGCTAAATGATCGATCAATCACGGATTGTCGATCTGTGATTCATTCAAAATATCAAACACGTTACCATGGCAACACGATTTCTCAAACACAATACCATGGCAACGCAGTTCATTAAACACAGCTTCAGTAATTCGAGACATGTCTGGCCTGTCAATTGTATTAACTGTCAACTGTTATTTTCGAATTTTGTATCAGAATTATTCAAACAAAATTCGTTATTTGTATCAGAATTCATCATTGAAAATATATGCGAAAAGTAGACGAAAGTGAAATCGAAGAGAATGTTCTGGTACTTGCATATCTCCAAGAAGTGTACAAATGAAGCATCGATCTTTGAGAACAATTTATTTATTCTGCGCTGAGCATGACAATAAACGTGAAACAAAGATAAGTAAGCAATGGACTGGACACATCTACAACCAATATCACTTATACGTGTCTCGCTGGTTGCATGCAGTTGCATGTATTATGTTCTCAATTCCCATTCCTTTCGAATTATTTTGTAGGTTAGCAGGAATTGCAGGTATGTTAATGTAATTTTCGGAGTTCGTAGTAAAATCATAGTATGTAACGCGTTTATAAACTCTTCTAGACACTCGTTTATTAAACACTCGCTCCGCTCTGCTCCGCTCGTGCTTAAAATACTCGTTACTAAAAGGACGTTTATAACACTTGTTACATAATATACTATTAAAGTGGCGTACTTGATTTTTTACTCGTATTTTGTTCAATTCTTGGGATGAAATTTCTCGTTAATTGGAAGAATTAGAAAACATCTGATATCATGGGAATATTCCTTAGACTGTATCATATTAATGTGCAGAATATTCGCACTTATTTCAAAAACTCCTTGTATTTACTTGATTCAAACTTCAAATCCGCTCTGAAACAATATACAGTGTGTCCCACTTACCATGCTCACCATGGGTATCTTTTTAACGGTGAGAGATACGAGGTCGGTTAAATGACACCAAATGTGGAAATTGTCGAGGCCAACTATAATGTGAAAAAATATTTTGATAAAATCTATTCGTTTTTGTTTTATAGACAAAAAACAGATTTTGATCATTTTCATGTCTCCTCCGTAACTTCTTTATTTATGAAAATATTTAAATAGGAATTTCACATTCTCATGGCAGTTTTTCAAAATGATTTCGAAAAAAATATGACATTTATACCAACTCTTCTAGAATTTGAGATATCAGCACCAACTTTAGTTTTTCAAATGTAGGTCATAGCTCACTATGACTTAGTTACGAATAACTTTTTTTTCTCTTACAGATGATATGTCGCAGTAATAGTTTTGTGTTGATAACAACGGAGTTATCGTCATTTATACAAAAACAAAAAATTATTTCGAAGCGGCCATCTTGAATTTTTGAATTGAATTTTAACAAAAAAATCATGATTTCCGACCTCAAAAATCCCCACTTACCAATTTTGAATGGAATCGGACCAAATCTTGTCCGCCATCTTGGAGCAGCCATTTTTCTTAATTTCAATAAAAATTCCATAACTCCGAATAACTTGGAATTTGGCAGGTGTTCATAATTTTGGTGGCAATTCATTATGGAATTTTTGTTGAAATTAAAAAAAAATGGCTGCTCCAAGATGGCGGACAAGATTTGGTCCGATTCCATTCAAAATTGGTGAGTAGGGGTTTTTGAGGTCGGAGATCATGATTTTTTTGTTAAAATATATAAATTCAAGATGGCGGCTTCCAAATAATTTTTTGTTTTTGTATAAATGACGATAACTCCGTTGTTATCAACACAAAACTATTACTGCGACATATCATCTGTAAGAGAAAAAAAAGTTATTTGTAACTAAGTCATAGTGAGCTATGACCTACATTTGAAAAACTAAAGTTGGTGCTGATATCTCAAATTCTAGAAGAGTTGGTGGAAATTTCATATTTTTTTCTAAATCACTATGAAAAACTGCCAAGAGAATGTGAAATTCTTATTTGAATATTTTCATAAATAAAGAAGTTACGGAGAAGACATGAAAATGATCAAAATCTGTTTTTTGTCTATAAAACAAAAACGAATAGATTTTATCAAAATATTTTTTCACATTATAGTTGGCCTTGACAAACTCCACATTTGGTGTCATTCAATCGACCTCGTATCTCTCACCGTTAAAAAGATATACCCATGGTGAGCATGGTAAGTGGGACACACTGTATAGATTTACTCATTTCAAGATTATATGTTTTCGTGCATATTATATGACACCTATATTTGCTTTATCCAATTAAATTTTGCTTGATTCAACGATTCCTTTTTTCCGTGTATATAATATTGGGTGTAAAAATGGGTATTGCCCCAAATATCATTTTGATCACTTTATTTTCTTATCAATTGTGCTATTCGATAGTATACATCAATATGGAAAGCAGTTTTACTCTTTATTGCATATTTTATTGAACACCACTTCATTTATATTTCATGTCAATGGTTGGCATGCAAAGTGTTTCATGAAATTGAAGATACATAGATATGTTTGTTGGGAAATCGAATTATATTTGAAATGATATATGATTCTGAATGTTTTATGTATTTCACTGTCTGTTGAAATAAATTAGCCAATCCAACAATTTCATAGCATTCCAACTATGGAATAGCCAAAATGCTGAAAGTGGAATGAAATGTTGAATAAATACATAAGCTCAAATTCCTATCTCCCAATTTTTATAATGAAAACAACAATTATAATAGATGATGGGAGAAAAACAATCACTTTCCTGGTTGATGCCACACAGTAAAAAGTAATTGTTTGGAAGAAGAAGTGCACTTGTTTGAAAATATTATCTTTGGAGGAGAGTTTACTTCTTCAAGTCAAAAACTCCATATTCAATTGGAGGGACCCAATTTCTTACATTGAGAAATATATTCTCTTGATCATTCGCTTACAGAACACTCGAATATCTT